CTGACACTATGGATTAATAGAAATAAATGACTTCTTTACAGGCAGCAATAATCTCGAATATCCCTCCACAACCTCCTCTTACCCAACTAAGATTATGGATGGGGTAGGGGACAGAGGAAGAATTTTACATGGAAAACACTTCTTTTCTAATAACTTTCCCCTTCATACACTTTCACGTTTTCCGGACTGATGCCAGCTTATTACGGCATTCTGCAGTTAAGAACCAGATAGACAAGAAAGCAAATAAATCAAGTGTACAGCATGCCACTTACTAGACAATTATACAGATATATCCATCCCTTCACTTTATACAATAAAAGCAAACAAATATTTAACATATAACATTTAATATTTTGTGAAAACTGTGTAGCTATAAACACCAAATTGTTATGAATACAATATAGGGTGTAGCAACCGTACAACTTTTCTAAGGAACAATTTTCAGAGAGGTTCATCAATCTGCTTAATGTGTAGAATGCAGATCAAATATTTTAGAAATAATTGTTTAGAATTTAGAAACAACATGCAACTTCACATGTCCTCATACAGAAAATAAAGTTTGATGACTATTGTCTCTGCCGACTGACATCTCATCAGCTGATTTACAAAGATTAATCTGAAGTACAAAAGATAATTCAGAAAAATATTAGGCTATTTATAATAGGATTATTTCGGACTGCTGTTAAAAAAAGTCTTTTTTTTGCTAGAGTGTCAGGGTAAACTCTTGTACAATTAGCATTAGTATTTGTAATAGGACTTCAAATATTCAATTTAAAAATTACCCTTTTAATAGCAGCAGGATTGAAAGTTCCGAACACGTAATTAAACAAGTAATTAAAAACAGCAAAAAAGTAACAAAATCACATTCTTGAGCTAAAGTATGAACGCAGAAATATAATGTCCAATAGGTTGAAAGACACCTTTTGTCCTCTTCAAATAATTATACATACACCAGGAGATATTAACTGACTTTCTTAAAGAGACTTTAAAGGAAGTAGGAGATGAAGTAAACATAATTGGTAAACATCCAAGGAAGCTAAGGAAATAAACAAGAAAGCAAAATGAACAAATTCAAAGATCCCATTTTGTGAAGCAGTCATGCTCACTGGGAATAACTTTCTTTGCTAACATCCATATCATCTCAAGAGCTCTGCAAAGAGGTTGTGAAAACACTGCAGATCAACTTTCTCCTCAATTAAGCATTTTCTTTCTGCATCAGAAAGTGGCTGATCTAACCTCCAAATATTTCAGATAGTGCACAGTTGAGTTTGCTGCTCATCTCCATGGAAAAGCAGTGTGTTCAATAAAACTCCTGCACATAGTCCAACCCAGGATCAATTAATGTTATATTTCATGCAGTCATTCAACAGCTTTACATTTTTGAGATATGATTTTAAATAATGCTATAAAGCACTCTGTTACAGAAATTTCAGCATCACAGATCTTTGATATGTCCTTATTTTTCACAGAAATTCCCTCTCAGATTTCCTAAATTCCTGGCCCAAGCAGAAAAGGAGAGAGTACAGCAATGCTATCTACTGCAACTAGTCTGCATCAACCTTCTGTTGATCTTGACAAGAGGTTCAAATCTGAATTGTCAATTTCTCAATGTGATTTATTATCATTTATTAATCAGCAGAGGTGAAATTTCATTTTTTTTTTTAATCATGCCAAAGTTAGCGCAAGCCAAGATGAGACTGCTCAGCATACACATCAACTTTACGATCAGAAAGAAAACAGAGGTGGAAAAAAAATCACCCTGAAAACTTTCAGTTAGGACAACTTTCCCACCCAAACATTTTTTGGCGTATTTGGATGACATGTTCCTCGCTACCGATCAATAAGACAGTCAGATCCCTGTCTACAAATGAAGGACAAGAGTGTCAGAGTTTAACTAAATTACAATTTCCTTCCTGACATACCATTTCCACAAAGCATCACATAAAATTTTCAAGACAGAGATCTTTAGATTTGTGACATATTTAGGCATTAAATATTATGGAGCAAAAAGAGGTAAATGAAGTTGAGGGTACAAATCCTCTATGATCTAATAGAATGGCAGGAACAAGCCAATGCAGGATAAAATCAGGTACCTGTTTAATGATCTATGTCATAACAAATACAACCAAGAATATTCTTGGGGAATGCCCAATGTAATGAAGTTTGTGGAGATACCTCAAACTCAAAATGCTGCAATATGGCCACTCATCTTCTCAAACCATCAACAGCCTACAATTCAAATTAGCCCAGCATTGCTCCAAATCGACTGTTTAACAAAGCACCAGCTACAGTCAAGAAAATTAGCATATACAAGACTTGAGACAGTTATAATCCCCGTGTTCAAGCTGAAGATGGCAACATTCATTATTTAGAGTGCTCGGTAAGATTCCAATGTGATGCTAAGGCTGATCTGTTCCAGGAAGAAGCTGATGCTAATAGGAGCTTTGGACAAGTTGCAGTAGTGCAGGAAGTTTTCTCCTTGTGTCTACACTTTGCCTCTGACGTGCATCTGCTTTTGAAGAAGTCTGTAGAATTTTCAGGAGCAGTAATCTTGAGCTAGCTTCTCCCAGATCTTGGGGCAAATATCAAAACTCCCAAGAAAAACCTGGTGCTTCCATTGACCACCATGAAAACACACCCCAAACTCAATCTCTCCGTAAAAGATTTGCTTTGCTAAGTCAGTCACTGGCATTCTGCTGACATGACCAGCCCGATGTAGTTCTATCTCAAAATGGTTAATTTCAACTGTAATTGAATAGTTATGGAGTCAATTATCACCCAGCATATAGGACTACAAAGAAGTCTATTACTTATACATCTGATTGCTGGCTTGTGCAAAACAATACGCAGAACAGAGAATACTAAAGGGTTACTCCTGGTCCAAAAGTAACAAGCTGTTGACTGTTCCAAATACAAGTTACTTTCAATACTGAATCAGAGATAGCAGGAACTGCAGATGCTGGAGAATCCGAGACAACAAGGTGCAGAGCTGGATGAACACAGCAGGCCAAGCAGCATCATAGGAGCAGAAAGGCCGATGTTTC